GACGAAAGAGGGGGAGGCCTTCAACGAGATGGATTGACACGGTGGCTGCGATGATGGGCTCAAGTATAGCAGGGATTGTGGGGCTGGCGCAGGATCGGGCAGTGTTTTGGTCTGCTGTGCATGGGGTCACTATGAGTCGGAAACGACTTGACAGCACTTAACAACATTGGCTTCTTGCCTCCATGGTTTCTCAGGAGAAATTGGCAATGAATGTTATTGAATACACTTGTATGTGATAATTTACTTCCTTCTTACTGCTTTCAAAATTTTCTCTCTGATTTTCAAGAATGATTATGTCTTGGTCTGTCTACCTTTGGTTTATCCTACGTGGAGCTCATTAAGCTTCTTGGATATATGGATTCATGTCTTTCATCAGATTTAGGAAGATTTCACTCATTATCCACTTGACAGTGTGTCACACAGGTTCCTTAGGTTCTGTTCTGTTTTCTTCTTCTTTTTGCTTCTCAGACTCAATAATGTCAACTGCCTTGTCTTCAAATTCACTCATTTGGAGAGAGACTCATTATATGCATCAACAGCCTAAGGCTGATTCCTATGAGGCAAAGGCCAGACATGCCTCCACCCTCCAACCTTTTTGCCAATTCTGACATCCACCATGCCTCCCATAGCACTCTTTGGCAAGTCTCTCTCTGGCCCTAAGCCCCTTGGCTTGGCCTCTGCACTGCTCAGGAAAAGTGTTACAAAGCTATTTTAACTCTGCAAATATGTGCCCAGAAGTACTCCACTCCATCAGTAAGCCTCTGCTCAAAGATGCTCAGTTCTAGCTTCATAGGTTGGCAAACCTAACTCCACCAAGTCCCTGGAGGAACCTCACCTTGTCAGCAAGCCTCTTGCCTAAAAATTGATTTCTTGCTCCATGGACCATGAAGCCCACCACAATTTCTCCTGTCAGTCTCCTGCTGGTCTCTTGGTTCTGCTGTTGCCATTTCTCTACCATTGCTATGGACTATCTCTCACTGTCTCCAGTGTTACAACTCTCTCTGTCTCCCAGGTCAAGGAGATTGACAGTGCAAGAATCTTGAATCCAAAGAATGTATTCTGCTCCCATCTCTTTTTGATGATCATGAGGTCCTCCTCTCCACCTCTGGTATTGATCATTTCAAGCCTAGCAGGATGGCAAAACAGACCAATCCCCTTGTTAGGGTTCCATACACCTTATTTATATGGTCTCACCCCCACAAAAGTGTCAAGTACTTTATTTACATTATTACCAAGCTATCCAATCTCCTTGATGAACCACAAGTACCTCATCTGCATAGTCCCACCCAGCCATTTGGTGGGGTTACAAAGACTGTGTCTAGAAGGGCCATCATTAAGTAATTCACTATACGACAACTGTTTTTTTTTTTTTTTTTCTTCTGTCAATTCAAATCTGCTGTTGAGCACCTCCAGTGAATTTATTTCTGTTATTATACTTTTCAGTTTTAGTATTTCCATTTAGTTCTGTTTTAAAAATTTCTATTACTTTACTGAAATTGTCTTATTCCTGTATCATTTTCTTTGTCTTTATTTCATTGTGTTTTCCTTTATCTCTTTGGCTATATATATTGCTTTAAAATCTTTGTCTAGTAAGTACACTATCTGTTCTTCCACAAAGATAAATTTTGTCACTTTATTTTGATACTGTGCATGAGCCATCTTTTCCCATTTCCTCATGTATCTTGTTACTTTTTGTTGAAAAGGGGACATTTAACTGTTATATTGTGGTAACTATGGACATTAGCTTCTTTCCCTTCCCCAGGCTTTGCTCTTCTTCAGTATTACTATTGTTGTCATAAACTGTTGAAAGCTGAAGATCTCCACTTCAACACCTTAATCTTCACTTTGGTGCACCTGTGATGACACTTCACTACTGGTCTCACTGCCTGGGTGTGCTTGCTGTCATAGTTTCACAACTAAGCTCCCTGTCCAAGGGTGCTGGCTGTACTGTTCCCACCCCAGACTATGCCTTGGAATGCCTAGTATGGTCACTTCACCAATAGGCTTCCTGACTGGGGATGCTGGCTGCACTACTCCAGGACCAGATTCTCTGTCTGGGTTCACCAGCTATCACCAATTTACCACCAGACCCTCACCTGTAAGCAGCAGTTGTTGCAGATTCTCCATGAGAATCCTTGTCTGGATGTATCACCTGTGCTACTCCAACACCAGACAGACATATCAGCTGGTAGCAACACTGTGCAGTCCAGCAGGAAATTCCCCTCCAGGGAGCAACATGTGTTAGAGTCACCATAAGGCTCCCTGCCTGGAAGTGCTGGCTTTAGAATTCTAACACCAGATTGCCCACCTGGAAACAGCAGCTGTCTCAGATTTACCAAGAGATTCCTCTACTGGAAGCATCAGCTATGGAGCTCCAGTCTCAGATTCCCCACTTGGGAGCTGCAGCTCTTGCAGACTCACCATGAAACTCCCCATCCAGGAGCGCAGCTGTGGAGATTCAGTCCCACACTTCCCACCTGGAAGAGGCAAGTGAAACAGACTCACTTGCAGACTCTTCACCTAGGAATGTACACTGTAGCTGTTTCACCAAGACGCCCCCTGATTGGGAACACTGGCAGTGCTATTCTTGTGAACATTTTCCCACTAATAGCAACTGGTTCCAGCCTCCAGCTTCTTTTGGCATTTGCAGAAACAGCCTCATTGCCTTTTCTCATATAGACCAGAAGCAACCATGTGATGTACCCTCCTCAAATGTCTGAGCTCCAGTGCTTGCTGTCACTGTTTCATAACTAGGCTCCCTGTCCAAGCTCCTAGATTCTGTTTATCCCAGACCCGTATCTTCTGTATTCCCAGTCATGAGAATATAGGCTGTCTTTTGCAGTTATTGTCTCTGGGTTACATCATTATTTCCTCTTGAGATCCTCAAACATGTATAAACAATTCCTTACATTAAATACCAGCTCTTAAAATGATCCATGTAGTTTATGTTTTCTTGATTAAACCCCGATGGATCAGAAGATTATGCAGATGCTTATTCATCTTCTGGTCAAAAATATTATTTCTGACACAAAAAGCTATCATACTTGAAAACTGTACAGACTTTATATTTATGCTTTAAAATGACAATTTTTAAATAACAATTTTATATTATTTTTAAAAATAGGTAAAAATAAAGAATTAAAAAATGACTTTTTCAAATACAAAGATATTTTAACATTTTGATATATTTATTTTTGTCTCTTTTCTATGCAAAAGTGTGTTTTATTTTTTTCACAATTGTGATCATACCCTTTGTATACTATTTTTTATCCTTAAAGTATGTTGTTTATTCAATATTTACTTGCCAAAAAAAAAAAAAAGATTTAAAAAGTCCCACTTATTTTGACATTTAGAAAAAAAAAATGACATATTTACCTCTACCATTTCTATCAATGATTATTCTCCAAATGGTATATTAAGAAAAAAAAAAAAAAAATTCACACCAACAAAGTTGCTTCTTCCATATACAGAAAAATAGATTAATGTTATTATTTTAAGCAAAAGGGATTTCCTCAGAATTATACATGATACAGGATGTATTTTTTTTCCAGAAAGTAATGTCATAGTCTATTAAACAAAAATAAATGCAGCCTAGAAAAATTGTAAATAAATTTAGAAAGGCCAGCTACTCACCCCCTATTACTGACAATTGCCTTTTTCAAGTGAATGTAATTTGCAGGAAAGATCCCCTGTAAAACATAAAAGATTTTCCATTAGAAAAAGGAAATTGTGATTAACATCTCATATATATCAAAACAGGAGACAGATATCTACACGAGAATACTCTACTATCAATATAGTAAATTTCTTTAATGTAGCAACCACTTTGTGTATTAGTTAAAATGCAGAGTTTCACAATGTATATTAAATAAAAATTGCACTATAGTGTACAATCAGAATCTATCCTCAGGAAAAAAAATAAAACTTGTGATCTTAAGAGCTGCTAAAAGAAAAAAAAAAATCAAGGTCAATTGGGACAATATAGTCCACAAAGACAATGTTCTACATCCTACTTTGAAGAATACCAACTTTGAGTCTTAAAAGCTTGCAAGAGGCCATCCAGGGTACCTACTGGTTTCTCCCCATTCAGAACAAAGAAGACTGAAGAAAATAAAAGATACTTGGAAACAATTAGTCCAAAGGACTAAGGGGCCATATGAACCTCAGCCTCAATGACCCTAACACCAAGAGAACTAGATAGGACCCAGCTGCCCCTACCAACTACTCTAAAAGGGATCACATTAGAAAGTCCTGTATAGAGTAGAAGAAAAATATGCAACAAAATTCAAAACTATAAAAAAGACCAGGTTGATTGGTCAAATAGAGACTGGTGGAACCCTCAAGACTGTGCCCCTTGGTTACCCTTCAGGTGTGGAACTGAACTCATTCCCACAGCTGGTGCATAGGTAACAGCCAGTTTATAGACTGAGACAGACTAGGAAGAAGGAAGAGGCCGTCCACTTCGGAAAGAATTGGCCAGGGAAAACCTTATGAATAGCAAAGAAACACTGTTTGGTACATT